CCTGCCTCAGCCTCCCAAAGTATTGGGATACAGGCATGAGCCACTGCGCCTGGCCTAAAATATTTTTTTAAATGAGAAAATAACAAGTATTAGTGAGGATACAGAGAAATTGGAACCGCTATACATTGCTTATGGGAATGTAAAATGGTAGAGCCACTGTGGAAAACAGTAACAGTGATTCCTCAAAACATTCACTGTAGAATTACCAGATGATCCAGCAGTTCCACTTCTGAGTCTATGCCCAAAAGAACTGAAAGAAGAGATTTAAACAGATAGTGTACACCAGTGTTCATACCAGCATTACTCACAATAGTCAAAAGATGGAAATAATCCAAATGTTCATGGCTAACTAAATTAATGGATAACTAAACTGTGGTATCTGTTTATACAATGGAACATTATTTGGCCTTATAAGTGAGGAAAATCCTGACACATACTACAACGTGGAAGAACCCTGAAGACGTTATGCTAAATGAAATAAATAAATAACAAAAGGACAAATAATGAATGATTTCATTTATACGAGGTACTAGAGTGGCCAAATTCATAGAGACAGACAGTAGGGATGATGGCTGCCAGGAGCTGGGGAAGGGAAAAATAAGAAGCTATTGTTAAATAGGTAAAGAGTTTCAGTTTGAGAAGATTAAAAAGTTCTGGAAATGGATGGTCATGAGAATATACTTAATGCCACTGAACTGCACAGTTAAAAATGACTAAATTTTTATGCTATGTACATTTGACCACAATAAAAACTAAGCATACATAAATCTAGGTGTTATTTTTTTTCTTTTTTTTTTTTGAGATAGAGTCTTGCTGTGTTCCAGGCTGGAGTGCAGTGGTGCGATCTCGGCTCACTGCAACCTCTGCCTTTGGGCTTCAAGCTATTCTCCTGCCTGAGCCTCTTGAGTAGCTGGAATTACAGGCATGTGCCACCATGCCTGGCTAATTTTTGTATTTTTACAAAAATACATGGTTTCACCATGTTGGCCAGGCTGGTCTTCAACTCCTGCCTCGTGATCCGCCCACCTCGGCCTCCCAAAGCGCTGGGATTACAAGCATGAGTCACCACACCCAGCCTCTAGGAGTATTTTTAAAATGGTTATATTAAGTATGTAGAACCATAATCCTTGATGGTTTAGGATTCTATACATATATCCAATATATCCGTGATCAACACAGTAAACATTCTGCTAGAAGACACAGCACCAAATTGTAATATATGTTATTTAATTATTTTGTTTAGTTCAAGTAAACAGCGTATTTTGTATAATTCTAGCAAAACAGTAACAATTCTGTTGGTCTCAATTCAGAAAGTAGTCTTTTACACATTAATTACCAAATTTTCTAAAAATTATTCTGATATTGTATTGCCTAGCCAATTATATTTATATCATTTTAATAAGCTCATAAACAGTTTTGCTTAACTATAAAAATAATATATACATTTTTAATGGTATTAATTTTATTTTTAGGGTTTTGGTATGGTTATGTTTCAACTATGGTTTAACATTTTTCCATTGTGATGAAATGGATACAACAAAATATATTTTTTTCAAGTGAAAAATTATTTTAAGCAAAAGAAAAATGAATTGCTATAATTTTTTTCCAAGATTAAAATTTTTGTTCACAGTATACTGGAAATACTTTTGTTACTTTTTACCTTTTTCATAGCAAATGACAGCCAAAACATTTTTTTAAACAAACTCTTAAAACAGAGATTCAGACCACAGGAAATGTTCTATTACAAACTGTCTAAACTCTGTGGAAATGTTGGATGCATTTATAATTCTATGAACAGTTATTTCAAAGATAAACAGTATCTAACAGTATTTGGCAATATTATTTTCTCAAGTTGTGGGACTTCATCCAACACAAGGAAATTATGTGTCAAACTAATTCTAGTCAAAAACACTTTGAGATTAGCAACCATATGAAGAATGAAATATTTTCCATGAATTATTTAACCACTCAGAAACCTACTTTGGACCCAAGCCTACCGCTCCCTTTCCCCCTGTTGATCGTAACTCTGACCCTTCCTCTCTCCTAAAGCAGGCTCCAGCTGTCCTGAGGCTCCAGGGAAAGGAAGACCAAGACCTCACAAATGAGGTATTAACCCTTGGGAAGATCTGGCTTTCTACAGACCTAGAATTTCCACAAGCCCAGCAGGCCAAAACCTTTTGGGCCTTGAAAAGGGTAATGAGGTAATGTAACAAGTCCATCAGAACAGGAGCCAATTCCCAACCCAGGTAAGAGCCAGCTTCTGTATTTTCACCCTTTCAGCCTCTGGCTACTCTAACTGGAAGCTCCTCCTGCCCTCACTATCTCGCTCTCTCTTTTTTTTTTTTTAAAGAGACAATGTCTCACTCTGTCACTCAGGCTGGAGTATAGTGGCATGATCATAGCTTACTGCAGCCTTGAACTCCCTGGCTCACACAATCCTCCTGCCTCAGCCACCTGGGTAGCTGGGACTACAGAGGCATGCTACGATGTCTAATTTTTTTTAATTTTTTTGTAGAGATGGGGTCTCACTATGTTGCGGAGGCTGGTCTTGAACTCCAGGCCTCAAGTGATCCTCTCGTGTTGGCCTCTCAAAGTGCTGGGATCACACGTGTGAGCCACCACACTCAGCCCCTCACCATCTCTTCTCAACCACGCCACTAGGCACTATTCCCTGGCAGCTTCACTTATTTGTCTCCATTAAAGAGAGACAAATGACAAATGATGTAACTGTAAAATTCCATCTTCTAAAAAATAGTATCATAGGGAAAAGTGTTGAAAAGTGAAAAAGCAAGATCTAAATATGTATATAAAATATCACAAATCTGTACAAAGTCTATTTACAAACACCGAAAAGCCTGAAGGAAATACCTCAACATGTTAAAGTGGTTTTTAAAATGTGATTCTAGTTTCTTTTACTTTCTTTGTGTCTTTCAGCATTTTTACAAGTTTTCTATGTGAGCATATATGACTTTTGTAATAAGTGAAAGAAAGTAAATCATATTTCACTAAAAGGAAAAAAAAAGACAAAACAAAGCCAACTGTATCCAGCCAGTTCTAGAGAAATAACTGTCCCATTAACAAGAAACAATTCCATCCTCCAAGGAGCTTAATGGCCAACACGGAACAACTAATTGTCAAGCCCTTTGTATTAGATCCAGGCAGCAGCAATGGTTTATGTTAAACTCTACAAATAAAATATTTCAGATTTTAAAATATTTGTTTTTCTTAGCTAAGACCAATTCCCAGGAACACTGTAAGAAATGTCACAATTTTCCACATATTTGGCCAACATGTGGGAGTTACTGTCAGAAAAACATCACTCAAGTGTTTTGAGGTTTTCCCCTAGGTTCTATTTCTCTAAGGTCAGCAAACAGAGAGACTTTCTCTCTCCTCCGACATATAGTCTTCCTTTAAATGAAGCTTCAAGAATACTAATTAGCATTAAATACAAAGGTAGACTTACAGTACTCAGATAAAGAAAAAACTCAGAATCGAATTAACTCACACTGAGACGGATATGGGAAAGGATTAAGCTTTTCAAAATTGCTTTTATGAAATGAATTCATTGCCCAAGTGTAATGTGGTGTATTTTTTTGTTTTGTTTGCAGCTTGCAAAATATGTTAGTAGGGGGAATGTCAGCTATCTCACTTCAGCACAGGCCAGAATCTTGGTTCTTTTAAAACTCCTTTGAAAACATTACAGTTTAAGCACTTAGAAAGGAAGTGGGCACAAGCCTTCAGCAACATAAAACTGTACCCCAAAATTCTGACTGAGAAAAGCCAACTCATATTCCTCCTGGGGATACTCCTGTGTACTTACAGCTTTTCCTGGAGCTGGCTCACTTACCGTAATGTGTCACTTGTGATAGGTATGCTGATTAAGTCCAATAAGGAGGTTCCTCCACCCAGTTCCCAAAAGTGAGCAATATCTTTTGGCTGAAAAACAAAAATTTTTGATTTTTGAATTTTAAGTACTTCTTATACATCATTAGCACTTGCCAGTAATAATTAGACATACAAAATGTTGTAGTCCTTAACCATTTCTTGGCAGTCAAAACTTTCTCCTTTATCTCATCTCACAAAATGCACCAAAGCACCTATTCTAAACAAAAATGATGAAATATTACGAATTGTCTATATGTGTATACAAATGCCCAAATGTCCTAATTCTAGTAATATCTTAACAGAAGACACAAACAGTGCCTCAATTTTGTAAATGACATATGTAACACACACTTACACAGATTTTAGATAAAAAGTAACCAGTTGAACAAATTTGTATTATCTTTTTGAAACACTGATAATTCTAGATAGAAATAAAACAGGTGAATAGGAAAACATTCTTATTTAGGAAGACAGAAGCTCACAGAATGAATTAGACACACGTAAGGCATGAAGAAAAAGAATGAACAAATGGCAGTCCTGGCTGCGGATCAAGATTACTTGAGCAAAAGTATAAGCAGACAATTTGTTCCTGATTCCCGTGGAGAATATGAGTCTACCACTGACAATAACACATGGTAGGTGGGGGAACAAGAGATCAAACAACTGCTTCTCTTTTTTATAGGGCCCTCAAAATAATAGGAAACTAACAGGGCTAGGCAGTCAAGAAGTTCAGAAATAAGATCATCTAGGGCTGGGTGCAGTGGCTCACACCTGTAACCTCAGCACTGCAGGAGGCCAAGGCTGGAGGATCACTTGAAGCCAGGAGTTCAAGGTCAGTCTGACCAACACAGTGAGACCCCATCAATACAAACAATTTTTCAAAATTAGCTGAGTGTGGTGGTGCATATTTGTAGTGAATTTGGGGGGACAATTTACTTGGGAGGCTAATTTGGGAGGATTCTTTGAGCCCAGGAGTTTGAGGCTGCCGTGAGCTATGATCCTGCCACTGTACCCCAGCCTGGGCAACAAAGTGAGACCTTGTCTCCGAAAGAAAAGAAAAAAAGGAGGACCATCTATTCCATGAGGCCTCCCTAGACTGTTGGCTAATGGCATTTCTGCTTCTGTCCTGACACTGAGGAGCCTTCAGGTCACTGAAATTCTGTGAGGAGCTGACAAAGTACTTCTATTTAGAACTCTCGAGGAATTAAATCTGAGAAAGACGTGATGCTTCCAGAATGAATTTGGAAATATCCCACTTGATAGTACAAAGTTTAGAGGAAAAAAATAGGTGAAAGAGAATCACACAAGTTTTTATGTATCTGCTCCCATGAGCCTGTAAGAGACAGATTATCAATAAAATAAGTTTCAGATGAATATATATTATTTTGAATTTTTGACAAATTTTCATCTTGTAATCTCTATGATTGTTTGGCTGTTCATATATGAATCATTAATTTTTGTGGGAAAAATAATTCTTCATTGGAAAATCTCCCTCAATTCAAAATTTGATAAAGGGAACTTTTTAGAGCTCTTCTGAAAAGTTAAGCTTATGAGAGCTGTCTCAAAGTTTCCAATGAAAAGCATAATTACATTTCTAGGCTTATCGTTCATGTCAAAATTCAAGTGAGTCACAAAAAAGAAGTCCTTCTGTATCTCTAGATATTATGTTTTTTTTCTTTAAATTTCAGCTTTAATAATCCACTTTCCTTGGTAAATCCTGGAAGCAACAATAGGCAGTTTTATCTCTTTGTATACTGCCTAATGAGCAAAACACTCGACTAAGTCAGTGTATAAAAATGCGCCTCAGTTATGGGAGTAGCAGGATGCTCCATTCTAGATTGACCTTACACACACTTAACTTTATTTAAGAAAGGACCTCTTTTCAGGTGACAACTCCAAAAAGATTCTATTTAGGAATTCCCCACCTCACCCCCTGCCAACATATACTATAAACCCACCTTCTGTCCTGAATAGTTTATAATGTGCCTCTAAAGAGACATTAAAACAAGTAAAAATAGGATTATAATCAAGTAGGGCATATGATCTCAACTAGCACTATCAACTTCAAGACACGTTTTTATTTTTATTTTATTTATTTATTTTGAGACGGAGTCTTGCTCTGTCACCCAGGCTGAAGTGCAGTGGCGCAATCTCGGCTCAATGCAACCTCCGCCTCCCGGATTCAAGTGATTCGCCCATCTCAGCCTCCTGAGTAGCTGGGATTATAGGCACACATCATCACGCCTGGCTAATTTTTGTATTTTTAATAGAGAAGGGGTTTCACCATGTTGGCCAGGCTGGTCTCAAACTGTTGACCATGTGATCCACCAGCCTTGGCCTCCCAAAGTGCTGGGATTACAGGTGCGAGCCACTGCACCCAGCCCAAGATGCATTTTTAAATGCTAATAATTTAGATTTTGAACAGCATATTTTCATAAATACTCCACAGGTCAAACTCATATTTCGGCAGATTTCTGAGAGACAGAAAGTAACTCACAACACTATTCTCATGAACTGTACAATAAAGTTAAAAAGGCATCTTATTCTAGCATTTTAAGACATAACAAATGAGAAGGCTAAAATCTTTTCACAGTTTGGTTTGGCTTCCTATCTGCCACACTGCATTTGAAGTTTAATGGTAGACAGCTATGAAGTGTACAACTGGGTATGTTTATTGATTACAGATAAGATGGAAAATGTAAAACAAAGTCAGCAGCATTACTTTCCCATCTTATGGGCATAGCAATATCACTTTAGAAGACACTTACTGTGCTGGGTGTGGTGGCTCATGCCTGTAATCCCAGCACTTTGGGAGGCTGGGACAGTCAGATTACTTGAGGTCAGGATTTCCAGACCCACCTGGCCAATATGGTGAAACCCCATCTCTACTAAAAATACAAAAATTAGCCAGGTGTGGTGGCAGGCGACTATAGTCCCAGCTACTTGGGAGGCTGAGCTAGGAGAATCACTTGAACCCAGGAGGCAGAGCTTGCAGTGAGCTGAGATCGTGCCACTGCACTCCAGCCTGGACAAGAGCGAGACTCCAATTGAAAAAAACAAAACAAAAAAACCCACTTACTGTGTTGTGCCCTTTTGCTCTTCTTCCATATGTATACTCCAAAGCTAAGGTTGGTTTTGGTGGCTCATCTCTGTATAATAAAGGCAGATAGTATTATCATTGTGGGTGGTGTTAGTTTCTTATGTTATCATCTTACCTGATTCATTTTTCCTTCCTCTTAGAAACTCTATTAGTAGAGAAGTTACTTTGTATAATAGCATTGAGATAAATTATATGTACAAAATAAATGAACCTTCAAAACACCATCTTAGTGGATTTTAATGGTGCCTGCATGATGTGGTAGCCTCTAAAGGCACAGCTGCGGCAAATGGAGAATGAGTTGAGGCTGGCAGGTTGGATGACCACGTTGGGCACTAGATCTCCACATCCAGGCCATGTAGGAAGCACTGACATTGGGTTTATGCTCAGCCTTGACGTGAGGTACTAGGAACCTAATGCAATTTAAAACATCAATGCAAGACTTGGCCAGGCATGGTGGCTCATGCCTGTAATCCTAACACTTTGGGAGGCCGAGGCGGGTAAACTGCTTGAGTTCGGGAGTTTGAGACTAGCCTGGGCAACATAGCAAAACCCTGTCTCTACAAAAAAAAGTAGGGCACGCCTGTAGTCCCAACTACTCAGGAGGCTGAGGTGGGAGAATCGCTGGAGCCTGGGAGAATTGCTTGAGCCTGGGAGGTCGAGGCTGCAGCAAGCTGAGATTGTGCCACTGCACTATAGCCTGGGTGACAGAGTAAGGCCCTGTCTCAAAAAACAAAAACAATGCAAGACTTTAATACAGTCCTCTATCTTAAATCACAGTTCAAGCATGGGTATCATTTAGCTAGTGACAGTTAATAAATCATATCAACAAATCCTTAAAATCAGTAATGATTAGGAAAACATTAAAACAATTTGCTGAATTATCTATACTATAGCTTATATTGCTGGTAAGCAGTTTATGATATATATTTATTTTTATTATGGTAAAGAATGCAAAATAGAATTTATCTTAACCATTTTTAAGTGTACAATTCAGTAGTATTAAATATATTCACGTTGTTATATAACCTGTATTCAGCACTTTTTCATCCACAAGACTAAAACTCTATACTCATTAAACAACTCCTTGGCCAGGCATGGTGGCTCACATCTGTGATCCCGGCACTTGGGAGACCAAGGCAGGTGGATCACCTGAGGTCAGGAGTTCAAGACCAGCATGGCCAACATGGTAAAACCCCATCTCTACTAAAAATATAAAGAAAAATGAGGCAGGTGTTGTGGTGAGTGCCTGTAATCCCAGCTGAGGTAGGAGAATTGCTTGACTCTGGGAGGCAGAGGTTGCAGTGAGCCAAGACCACACCATTGCCCTCTAGCCTGGGCAACAAAAATGAAACTCCATCTCAAAAAAAAAAAAAAAAAAAACCTCCTCATTTTCCCTTCCCCCTAGTCCTTGGTAACCACCATTCTACTTTTTGTTTCTATGAGTTTGATTATTCTAGATATCTCATATAAGTGAAATCGTACTATATTTGGTTTTTTTTTTTTTTTGCAGTGGCACAATCTTGGCTCACTGCAACCTCTGTCTCCCGGGTTCAAGCTATTCTCATGCCTCCCAAGGAGCTGGGATTACAGGGGCCCGACACCACGCCCGGCCAATTTTTGTATTTTTAGTAGAGACAGGGTTTCACCATGTTGGCCAGGCTGGTCTCAAACTCCTGATCTCAAATGATCTGCCCATCTTGGCCTCCCAGAGTGCTGGGACTACAGGTGTGAGCCACCATACCAACCCAATATTTTTGTGTGTGTGTCTGGCTTATTTCACTTAGCATAATACCCTGCAGGTTCATCAATGCTGTAGCATGTGACAGAATTTCCCTCCTTTTTAAGGCCAAATAATATGGGTACATATCTTTATTTTACTTTCTTATTTTATTTTATTGAGACGGGGTCTCCCTCTGTTAGTCAGGCTAGAATGCAGTGGCATGATCGTGGTTCACTGCAGCTTCAACCTCTCAGGCTCAAGTGATCCTCCCACCTCAGCTTCCTGAGTAGCTGGGACTACAGGTGTGCACCACCACAACCAGTTAATTTTTGTATCTTTTGGTACAGACGAGTTCTCACTGTGTTGGCCAGGCTGGTCTTGAACCTGGGATGACTAATCCACCTGACTTGGCCTCCCAAAGTGCTAGGATTATAGGCATGAGTCACTGCAGCCAGCCCCATATCTATCTTTAAATTGTAGAAGATAAAAGATTTTTAAATTTGTGACATATATTTATGTTTATTAAGTATTTTGAATATCACCACTGCATATATCTTTTGAATACATTATATACAGAGTAATATTTGGTTATATTTCCCAAAAGACAGAAATTTTCTTACTCTGTTGCCCAAGCTGGAGTGCAGTGGCCTCAGCTCACTGCAACCTCTGCCTCCTGGGTTCAAGCAATTCTCCTGCCTCAGCCTCCTGAGTAGCTGGGATTACAGGCATGTGACATCACGCCCAGCTAATTTTTGTATTTTTAGTAGAGACAGGGTTTCACCATGTTGGTCAAACTGATCTCGAACTCCTGACTTCGTGATCTGCCCACCTCGGCCTCCCAAAGTGTTGTGATTACAGGCATGAGCCACTGTGCCCAGCCAGAAGTTTTCCTTTATCAAGCAAAATGCTACTTTTAAGACAAAATTTATAAGATCTGATATTTAACCTAAATCTTGTACAATCGCCCTTTTCCTAAGCAGACGATTAAGGAATTGAAATTATTACTTTTCAAGTCAATGTACTATTTTGTAGTATTTTCTCCTAAGCTGGTGTTGTACTAGATGATATGTTTATGACAGAAACAGCAAAATGTGTCTAAAAAGACCCATGATTCCTGGAGATGGAAAGACAAAACAGGTTTTACTGTTGATAGTTCCTCTGAGAAACGACTCTGCTGGTGAAAGAAATCACACAAAACTAGGAATTTATTATTTGTATTCTTTAATAATATTTTTCAAATGAGTGATATTTCTTTACGTGACCTTAACACCAAATTCCATCTCTTTTGATGATTTGGGAGAAGTTATAAGAAATATGTATTGAAATGAAGGGAACAGAGAAATATCTTCCAAAATTGATTGAAGACTTTCCTTATCAGCTTCCTGCAACATCTATCAATCATAATCCTAAATGTTAATCTGATGGCCTGCTTCTACAGTGTGGGTTAGAAAGTATATAAAAGAAATGATAAAATATCCAGTTTGAGGACCAACATTGTGCTTCAAAAATGTATCCCTGAGCAACTAAAGCTTCCAATGAATGTTCAAATAATCATAGATTTGGCAGAATAAAATAATTTAAATACCAGAATAGCATAGCCAAAAAGAAGGTAAATACATTGTAGGCTGGATCATTACCGTAACATTTCTCCCTCAAATAGGGAAACCCAGTATTAATCTCATAGCATTTTTGGCTTATTGTTAGTTTTATCTTTAAAGGTGCTCTTAAAGGTGATACTAAGGATTCACTAAGAATTAAATATTTTGTTTGAGTCTTAAAATCATTCCCCTTCCTTATGTCTTTTAGGATCTAACTTGCCCTATACAACTAGAGTAAGCATAAATGTAGTTTAAAGGTTAATATAACACTTACCTGTCAAGACACCTTAGAATAATAGAAGTCTTTCCCTGGAAATTAAAAAAGAAGGAATACTGTGTTAATGTCATTCATATGTAAAATTGTATTATTATTCATAATTGTGGCCCAAAATAGCTTTTTAATCACTTGAATGATAAATTACCTGGAAACTAAAAACTAGAAACTTTCAGAATTGTTCTAAAGTTTAATAAGTGGAAAAAGTTAACTGTCAACTTTCCATCACAGTGTAACTACACTGCTATTATTATAATTATAAAGTCTCACAGATGACAAATACTAGCAAACCATACCTCACTTAAGTGGTCAACTTGGCAGCTGTCTTAAATTTTTCTCTACTCATCAATGCTAATTACTGGTTAAGCTGATGCTTAGTGTCTTTTAAAATGTTTTAATTCCAATTGTTGAAGTGGAAATAAGGAAAAAAGATAACATACAAATAAAGGACACATTGCAAATATGTTCAAAGTAGGCAGCAATTCAGATACTGCACTAGAGTAATTTGTTTTAATTACAGAGGATGTACTCATTCCAAGTTTCTTTTTCTTTTTCTTTTATTGTGTTTTTGAGACAGAGTCTCACTGTATCACTGAGGCTGGAGTAAGGTGGCATGATCTCAGTTCACTGCAGCTTCCACCTCCTGGGCTCAAGTGATTCTTGTGCCTCAGCCTCCCGTGTAGCTGGGATTACGGGTGCACGCCACCACACCCAGCTAATTTTTGTATTTTTAGTAGAGACAGGGTTTTTCCATGTTGGCCAGGCTGGTCTTGAACTCCTGGCCTCATGTGATCTGCACACTTTGGCCTCCCAAAGTGCCACCACACCTGGCCCCAAGTTTCTTTTCAGGAATTCTGGCCTAATTGCTACTACTAGTTATGCAACTTAACTTCACAGTTTAGCCAGGGACTAGCTCAGTGGTTTACATTATTTTTAAAAAATAGTAAAACCTTTTTTTTTTTTTTTTTTTAAAAAAAAAGATCCCTTACAAAGAAACAGATAAAAGAGAAACAGCAGGGCAAGCTCCACTGGTGGAAACCTTCAGGCTCCAAAGGAAATAATTTGAAAAACTCTGGATTGTCAAAAACACAGAATATTTAATATATGTGTTTTTGGTTTTACTAAAAAACCTATAGCTTTTACCTAAAGAAGGTAATTACTTCAGATTATATCTGGAATATGATCAAATTGAAGAACTGTTTTGTAATGAGATATATCAAAAAATAACCAGGCCAGGCATGGTGGCTCATACCTGTAATCCCAGCACTTTGGGAGGCTGAGGCGGGTGGATCACAAGGTCAAGAGATGCAGACCATCCTGGCTAATATGGTAAAACCCTGTCTCTACTAAAAATACAAAAATTAGCTGGGCGTGGTGGTGTATGGCCTGTAGTTCCAGCTACTCCGGAGGCCGAGGCAGGAGAATTGAATGCACAAGGCAGAGGTTGTAGTGAGTTGAGACTGCCTCCACTGAACTCCAGCCTGGTGACAGAGTGAGACTTTGTCTCAAAAAATAAATCATTGGAATAGTATAATATAAAAATGTACATTATTGAAGGATGTTTACTGGCTGGTGTTATATCAAACTGAATAACTTAAAAAACCCTACATGTTCCCAAATAGGGGACTGGCTAAATTAATTATGGTAATCCATACAATAGAATACTATACAGCTATTAGGTATGACAATATAGAAATATACTTACTGACATAGTAAGACATTCATAATAGATTAGCATGACTCTGTTTGCATTAAAAAATACCTTTTCCTGTTTCCTTGAAGTACACACACACACACACACACACACACACACACACACACAGAGAGAGAGAGAGAGAGAGAGAGAGAAACAAACACACAAATAAATTTAGAGGGACATTAGTCTGTTAATGATTATTTCTAGTTGATGGATTTGCAGGTAATTAACATTTTTAAGAAAATTGGGATTTTCTAATTTTCCTACACTGAACTTGTATCAGACGTAGCATACTGTAAAAGCTTTAAATTAATAAGGGCTACATTACCTAAAAAGTAATGTACTCTATATATAAGAAAGTAGAATAAGAATTGGAAGGAATTTTAGATAATATCTAGCCAATTTCCTCACATTTTCATGGTACACTAGTATTGATTTAAATCACCTCCCTTTGTTGTTTTAGAGACAGAGTCTCGTGTTGCTTAGGCTAGAGTGCAGTGGCACGATCTTGGCTTACTGCAACGTCTGCCTCTAGGTTCAAGCGATTCTCATGCCTCAGCTTCCAGAGTAGCTGGGATTACTGGCTTGCACCACTATGTACAGCTAACTTTTTATATTTTTAGTAGAGACGGGATTTCACTATGTTGGCCAGGCTAATCTCGAACTCCCGGCCTCAAGTGATCCTCCCACCTCAGCCTCCTAAAATGCTGGGATTACAGGATTGAGACACCATGCCTGGCCTTAAATCACTTTTATTACAATTTCATATAAATGTATAGTACTATGTGGTTACAATTCCAAATTAACATAAACTAATCTGGGAACTGAAATCAAGTTTTAGATTATCACTAAAATTACAACCCAAAATTTTAAAATTTATTAGTATACTCTGGTCCCCTGAGAATGCACCCAAAGTCTCATTGGTTTCCTAATTCAAGAAACATGGACCTAGTACAAGTTCATGTAGAGACCATCGAAATGAATCCCATCTTCCCTCCCATTGCCTCAATCACTCCAGATGTCCAGTCCTCTCCTCTGACCCATTATTCCTGGAACTCTGAATTTCCTAGTTCTCTACACATCCTTTAATTTGGCCCAATAATCCTCTCCTGTCCCCTTTCCTCTAAAATCCTTCTACTCTATGACTCCAAGTCCATGGCTGGCAAACTCCCTGATATCTCAACCTTTTCAGAATATTCTCTCTACCTGTTGGCCTTAACTAAAATACGACTTTCCCTGAACCCCATCCTCCGGAGCCTTGTTCAACGAGGCTATTTATTCTCACTACACTACATATTTTAAGGTCCACCTTGCTCCCCAGTGCCACCTGTAAACAACTACTTTACCTCCCTCCTCTTGCAAAAACCTCAGAGGCTTGTATCAGTTTACCACCATGGTTGTTGTCATCTCTTTTGGCTCACAATCTCCCTTACTTCGCAGCTACTGTCATGAATCTTCCTCACATCCACATAGATCCTGGCAATGCACCTGACATCCCGACCTCTCAGTGCATGCCTCCTAATGGAGGCCTTTTCCCTCACTCTACTTCTGCCACAGTCACTTCCAAGGTTACATCTTGAAGCGTTCCAGTTTCACTGGCAACTGCACTGCTTCCAAACTCGCACATACACACAGCACATCCTCTAACCGCTTCTTCAGGCATCCTCATTGTAATAACTCTTTGGTCTTCACGAAAGGTCTCAAATGTCCATTGACACCCCCTCTGCTAACGGTTGCTCCTACGTCAGCTTCTTCTACCTTCGCTTCTCTCCTTTTCCATCTCAGAGTCCATAGTTTATCATTACAATCATCTCTGGTAAATATCATCCATGCCCTGGGCTCCCTCACTTTGCATTGCACTTGCACCCAGCCAGCAAAGCCACCCCAGGTAATCACCTTCCTCTTCTATGCCTGCACCCATGCAAGTGAGTGATGGTGGAGAAAAACCATGTACACTGGACAGATTAGTATCATATTAACACCCATCATCAAAATGGCAGTCAACAATGACTGACAATCCTATTACATTTCTCTAGTATGATCTTTCTCCCATTTGTCACAGTATCTGTTTCATACATTTTTCTTGAGCATCTTGGAATACTCAACACTCTTCACTTGAATTACTTCTCTTTCCTTCCTTCTCACCCTTCATGCTTTAGTCACCACCCTCTTCAGGAGGCTTTCTTATTCTCCCAACTTTTGGGGTGAGTTAAGTGCCCTCTCTGTTTTCCTCCACAGCATTTGTCTCAAGGTATTGTCATTGTTGGTATACAAGTCCTCGTGCACAAGTTCCTTCCCGGTAGAGAATGTCTTTCATTCCTGTTTCCACAGTGTCTAGCAGAATGGTTAGCATATTAAAAGATGTTTGATCAATGTCAACCAAATGGATGAACAGATGGTTGGAAGGAGAAAGAGAAGGCACCAGGGCAGTTGGCTTCTTTGGTAAACGGTAACTAATTGAACAATAGAAGCATTAATTACTTCATCTTCCAAAATAATGTTCTTCATGAAGCAGAATCAGATATTTTCTTTCTTTTTTGAAACAAGGTCTCCCTCTGTTGCCCAGGCTAGAGTGCAGTGGCACAATCACAGTGGCTCACTGCAGCCTTGACCTCCTGGACTCAAATGATCCTCTCGCCTCAGCCTTCCAAGTAGCTGGGACTAGAGGTGAGCACCACCACACCTGGCTAATTTTTGTATTTTTTTGGTAGAGACTGGGTTTCACCATGTTGCCCAGGTTGGTCTCAAACTCCTCAACTCAAGCAATCCACCTGCCTCAGCTTCCTAAAGACCTGGAATTACAAGCATGAGCTACCACACTCAGCATACTTTTGAAAGAACAATACCCTCGAAAGCTTTAGATATCTTAAGGGAGTTCCCAACTCATCAGAAACAAAATTACTTTTGTTACTAAAAACAAAAAACAGCTTGTATATGCCCTATACAGCCATCAAGAAAAAGGGGTGGTTTCACAAGTAGCAAACAGAACAAAACAAGACAGTATCATGACTACAAAGGGGTCACGAATAACTGTTACAGAGATTTTGTATGTGAGCATTTGTATGCTGGAATCGGTAATCAGTACCATTAGTATAAGCCATTCTGTCTAATATTCTGTGTATACAGAATGTTTTTGTAATAGAAATTTATTTTCTATTACCGTAAGACTAGTACTAGTTATTTACTCATTTATTTAAATTCATGTATGTACCTACATGGCAGTAGGAGACTGCTACTATGCCTAATATGAAAATCACAAGCATCATAATAGTAAACTCATGAAATGATACACAGCCAGGTGTGGTGGCTCATGCCTGTAATCCCAGCACTCTGGGAGGCCGAGATGGGCAGATTGCTTGAGTCCAGGAGTTCAAGACCAGCCTGGGCAATATCGTGAACTCCAACTCTACTAAAAATACAAAAAATTAGCCAGACATGGTGGCACACGCCTGTAATCCTAGCTATTTGACAAGGTAAAATCACCTGAGCCAGGGAAGTTGAGGTTGCAGTGAGCTGAGATTGTGCCACTGCACTCCAGCCTGGGCAACCAGACTGAGAGCCTGTCTCAAAAAAATGTATAAATATTGTTGCCC